CAGGGTTTACGAGACTTTCATTCCGTCTTTTTAAACCAAAGACGTTCCGCTACCTGAGGATATGCAAACTTATTTATTAAGACTTGGAATAAAAGAAGTTTGCATAAAGATGCCCAGCCTTTGAAAAAAAAAAAAAAAAAGGGGAGGAAACTCTCTTATCCAACAAGAATGTTACAGAAATGTTTTTCTTACCTGCTTGGAGGGAATTCAAACTTGAAGCCGGTGATGTTATGTGTCATACTCGCGCTGCTCACGAGGCAGAATCGTTCGCCTGTCAGAAGTTTAACATTTGCTCTCAGTTGAAACATTCATCAGTTTCTTATTAATATTCCGTTAAATCAAATGGAAATTTAATTCGTTCTTCTTAGAATGTTCGATTTTCAACATTCGAACGCCTCGTTCTTTTTAATCTTTCAACGAGTCAGTCTAACGCTTTTTAACAAAACGATTTCTTTACGAATGGGACCGAACGGTTCTCGAGTCAATAAGCCTGTTTCTGAACTGTCAGACTTTGTTTCTGTCATTATATTAAAGTTCTTTCATCAGTGGAACACAAACGGAGAAATGTAGACGAATGTTAGAGACTCTCAGCCTCAGTCAGCCTTCACTGTCATTACAGAAAAAGATGTTATTCAAATGAACGTGACTGAGGAAAAACGCATGAAGGTTTGGAACAACATGACGGCAAATAATGACAGGGTTTTTTTCATGTTTATAATAGCCTATTTATAACACTATTGAAATGAGATTAATACTGTATGTATCTCTTGAGGGTTTTCACAGGGTGAGTCACTTCATTTAACTTTATTCTTTAATATTTATATTTATCACGTTTATTCTTAATTCTTGTTTCTCATATATCCACTGTGTTTCTTGCTGGGAATTTGACTTCAGAATGCTTTACTACTTCCATGGGAACATATTTGTTTTCCTAACCTATCCATGTCTTTTAGGCTTAACTCAGTTTACCCTTTTTGAATCTAATCCAAACTTGGTCATAATGTTGTGTCCCAAAAAG